CCTCCTGGGGCCCTGCCGAGGGTGCGGCCGTGTGGCTGGAGGCTAGGCGGAGGCTGGGCTGGGAGGGAGGCTTTGTTCTAGGCCTTGGCTTGTGCAATCGCTTTCAGCAACCTGCCCAGGGAGCAGGTGGAGGCGAAGGCCTGGCGTTGCCAGGGCCTCCAGGGCCAGCAGGGTCAGAGCCTTGCCCCTGGGTGGCTGTGGCAGGGCCTGGTAGGAGAGACCTGGCGGTCCTGGGGTCTAGCTACCAAGCATTTGCCTGGCATTGAGGCTGGAGCCCTTGGGTTTTGACCTTAGGAGAGACTCCAGTGCAGGAAGGGGCCGAGACTGGGCCTGGGGAGGAGGACACCACATCCAAGGAGCCCTCAGGGATTGACCCAGAGATGTCCTCATTGGCACTGCCTCACACTGTTCTACTTGATGATGTGTTAAATCAGAACACGCCACTCCCCTCCTGTGGCCTTGTCTTGGAAATAAAACCCAGGCCAGGCTGCTCCCACCCCCCACCCTGCCCCCACTGTTTCCAGTTCAGCTGGTTCCCACCTCGGCCCCTGCATTTGCTATGCCTTATCTCTTGGGCCCTGGGCTCCAGTGTCACCTCGGGAGACCCTCCCTGACTTCTTGCCACCCACCTCCGTCACGTCAGTCATTCACTGCAGGCTTATCTTGGTTTATGTCTGTTATTGTGGTCACTGCCCTTTGAAGTCATCTTGCACTTTTCCTGATGGACCTGTGTGGTGTGTGGGTGTGTGCAGGTGTGACCGTGTCCCCCAAGGACCCCCGTCTTTCATGTTCACTGCCCCATCTCCGTGCCGAGGCTCTGTCAAGCTTATCGCCTGGCTGAAGGGTGCGGGTGGTGTCCCAGTTGAAGCTGGACAGTTCTCTCTGGGTTTGGATCCCAGCTGGCTCTGCCCTCTTGGCAGCTGTATGATCTTGGGCTGGTGGCTTCCTGTCTCTGAGCGGGGTAGATGGACACTTTGTGCTAACCTCTGTGGCTGCAGTACTCTGGGTAGGCTTCCTGGAGGAGGAAAAACGTGGTGTTTATGCTGGTGCTGGGAGGTCAGAGGAGGGTGAGGGTGCGAATGGCAATTGAGGGCCAAAGCCTGGAGGTGGGCCAGATGGGGCTTGTTTGGGGGCTGGGGAGGGCTTGGTGCCAGGTGGGGGCAGGTCTCAGCCCGTGGGCCCTGGGGAACTGCTGAAGTGCGTGAGTGAGGGTTACCTGGGGCTTCAGGGAGGGGAGCCCTTCAGAAAACATCCTCCTTCCTGTATCTGCTTTCCTGGGAAACGAGGCTGGTCAGCCCCTGGGGGCGGGGGAAGAGGAATTCAGCAGTTGGTGGACTGGGCCAGGACAGCGCTGGGCGAGGGGCAGGACTGGGCCGGGACAGTGCTGGGCGAAGGAGCAGAGGGAATGGGTGCCTGGTGAGCCTGGATGAATGTGAGTGAATGAGGCTCTGTGTGTGTGTGTGTGTATGTGTGAGACACTGAGGGTGTGCATGAGTGTGAGCTAAAGTGCGTATGGGATTTCAGCCTTGAGTGAGTGGGAGTGTGAATGGACGAGTGGGAGTGTGAATGGATGAGCGTGAGTGAGACCCTGAGTGAGGGGGAGGTGTCTGTTCCCTTGTTCCCTGACTTGACCCCCTTGCACGGGGCTCAGTGATGCCTTCCTCCTAGGAGGTCCAGGGCCGTTTCGGGGTGGGGGTTGGCATGGGAGGATGGGGACCTTTCCGGGCCCGGGGGAGGTCCTGTGGGGTCTTTTGAGCCCCTTCTGTGCTGAGAAGGCTCCAGCAGTCTGGGGTCAGCCTGGAGGCTGGAGCAGCCGCCTCCCCTGTCCTGCTCTACTTGTTTGTGCCCGAGGAGGGTCCTCCTGCCCCCCACCCCCCACCCCGTCCCCTTCCCAGTGCCTTGGCTCCCACGGGCTAATGAGCTAGGTTCAAATCCCGGCTCCTTACTTTCCTAGCTGGGTGACCTTGGGTGAGTTACCTCTACTCTGAGCCTCAGCTCCCTGGTGTAGAAACAGAGCCCCTCCCCTGCATCTCCCCCCATCCTGGGATGGTTGTGAGGATGACATGTGGTAACGGGAGCAGGTGGAACACAGAAGGCCTCCTGGAAGTGGATGCGGCTCTTCCTCCCGCCCCCACCCAGAGCTGTCGCCCGCGTGTGGTTCCTGAGGCTCCTCATCCGTTCCTGCTGGGGTCGATTCTCCTCCATTCCATCCACCTGTCCCACCTCCACCGCCCTACCCTGACCGGCTTCCACCCCCACCCATCCTCCACTCCACAGCCCGAATGCACTCCCCGAATTCCTCTGGGACCTGTGCCTTCTCTGCCTGTGAAAGCTCCCTAAGGGTCTTCCTGGCCCCCGGGGGATAAATTCCCACCCTGCGCCGGCAGCCCCACCCCCTCCCCCGCGTCCACACACTTGCACTCTGCTTCCTTCTGACCTCCGCGCTGTTACCAACTATTCTCTGCCCTGGTCCCCGTCTGTCCTCTTGCGCTGCCAACGCATCTCCCCACCTCCGCCCCCGCTGATTCTGGCCAAGTGCCTCTTCCTCCGTGAGGCTCAACGAGGCTGTCGTTGTCCTGGGAAGTCCCCAGGTTCTCCTGGTGGGGAAGGCTCTCTGGGCCTGCGTGTTGCTGGCACTGCTGGGAAATGCCCGGGATCTCCCCCCCGAGCCTTGTGACCCTGGGGCCGGCTGGTCTGGTCTTGACCCTATGCCGTTGGGTGGACTGTGTCCGTCTGGGGACTGCAGGAGGAGACGGCTGGAACTGGGAGACGTGGGGAAGAAGGTGGGGTCTGACTTCTCAGTTGTCCCCCTCCACCCGAGGTGGTGCCTGGGGAGAGCGCCCGCCCTCCTGACCGTGCCTGAGCCCTCTGCAGGACCTGCCATGGAGGCTTCCGGAAGCCCAGGGCTGGACAGCTATGGAGACGTGCCCGGGCCTCCTGTTTCCAGCCTTCCCACAGGGCCCTGTCTCTGGAGCTGCCGCAGATGGCAGGACCGAGTGCCAAGCCTGAGGGCATCATAATGGAAAAAGAAAAAAAAAACTTAAAAGGGCTGGAAAGAAGGGGCGGGGTCGTTCCCCATGGCCGCCTGCAGCTGTCTCTTGTAAGGGCTCCTTGGGGTCTTGGAGCTTTGCTGTCCCCACCGCATCCAGGTAACGAACGTCCAGCAGTAACCAAGCGCTGGCTCTGCCCACACGCTGGCTGTGCAGACGCGTCATGTCCGCAGCATCCCTGTAAGGTCCATCATTTCACTCATCATCATTCCCATTTTAGAGATGAGGAAACCGAGGCTCAGAGTGGTGAAGCTACTTGTCCCAGGGTGCACAGCTAGGAAGAGCAGAGCCCAGATTTGAACCCAGGGACCCTGGTTCCAGAGCCTGAGCCCTGCACGCAGCTACCTTGTCAGAGCCAGTGACCCCAGCTCCACTCGCCTCTGATCCCTGGGGAGCCGCACGGGGTGCAGAAGGGGTTCCCTCAAGGTCCACTCGAGTCTGAGATGTTCGCAACTGGGTGGGTCTTGAAGACAACCATGGGGAATGAGCCCATTTTCTGGACAGGAAAACTGAGGTCAGAGAGAACTGGGGGCTTGCCCAAGATCACAGTTGTCAGTGGAAGAGCTGGGACCACAGCCAGGTTTCTGGCCTCTGTCCAGTGGTCTGCCCCTTACTGTCTAACTTGCTCTTTTCTGTGCAGAAGCTAACCCAATAAAGATGGCATAACACACGGGTGGAGGTTGATGAATGGTTGTTAAGGGGACCCCCGCTGTCTTCTCTCTAGGGGTGATTGGCCTCCTAACTTCTGTGGGAATCCCTAGGGCGTTTTGTCCTGGTGTGTCTAGCCCTGCAGACCTCTCTCCATGTGCAAGCGGGGTCTTGCCTCTCCCATGATTCTGTAAATGGGATCGTAGCCCGTGTGGCCTTTTGAGCCTGGCCTCTGTGCTCAGCATATGAGTCTGGCGTTTCTCCACGTGGTTGTGTGTGTCTGTAGTTTGTTGCAGTTTGCTGCGGAGCAGCATTCCATGGTATGGATGTACCGCTGTTTGTTTATCCTTTTGTCTGTGGGATGGATGGTTAGATAGCAGTTTTTTGTGATTGTGAATAAAGCTGTTATGAACGTTCATGTTACAAGGCTTTGTGTGAGCATACGGTTTCATTTTTCTCAGGGTAACCTTCCAGCAGTGGAATTGCTGGGTCACATGGTCAGATGCATGTTTAACTTTTAAGAAACTGCCAAACCATTTTCCGAAGTAGTTGCACCATTTTGCATCCCACTAGCAGCGTCTGAGAATTCCCGGTGCTCCACATTTTCATCAACACTTGATACTGTCTGTTTTATTTTACCCACCCATGTAGGTGTGTAGTGGTGTCTCGTGGTTTTAATTTGGACTTTCCTGATGACTCATGATATCGAACATCTTTTTGTGTGCTAATTGGCTGTTTCTAGATCCCCTTTTGTGAAGTGTGATCAAGTCTTTTTGCCCATTTTTCTTTTGGGTTGACTGGCTTTATTTGTGAGTGTCCTTTCTTTGTTCTGGACGCTAACTTTTATCAGACTGGTTTTGACCTTGAAGGGTGACTCAGTTAGAAATTCCTGAATGAGAGTGGTAGGCCCGCCCCCTCCTTCGGATGTCACTCACGGACTTTTTAGAGGGTCCTCTGGGAAGTTAACGGGGGAGTTTCACAGCGACACTGTGATATGGGCCTTGCCGGGGTGTGGGCCGCCTTCATAAACACAGTTCTGTAATCCTCCGCTGAGTGACTTCCTAGCTGTGGGACCTGGGTCATGAGACTGATTCTCTGAACCTCAGTTTCCCTCTCTGTCAAATGGGGCAGCAGTACCATTTCATAGGGTGGTCGTGGAGAAATACTTGGCCTGGTGTGTACAGTGCACCAGGCCCAGGACGGGGGGCCTTGCCGCCTTCACCCACACCTTCATGTGGTTGTGCCTAGCCCGTGCGTGGAGGCTGTGAGTCTTACTAACAAAGTCCGTGTTTCCCCCTCCAGGCCCCCCAGAGTCTTTGAGGACACGGTGTTGCTGGTGGTGGCTTCTGGTAGGTTCATGGCTGTCCCCACTTGCTGTCTCTAGCGGAGTCATATTGCTGGGACCTGCTGAGGGGCAGGGGTCGGGTGTTGCTGGGATGCCAGATTCTGCCTGGCAGATGCGGTGGTGGGGCTCGGCGTGGCCTTGTGGGGTGGGGCATGGCACGCCAGGAGTGCCCAGGGTGGAGGTTGTGGGGTCCCCTGGGACAGGATGCTGTCTGGCTGCGCGCAGGGAGTTCCAGATGATGCCTGAGAGGAGGAGTTGTCCCTGACAGTGTAGCTGTGGGTCGGTGGCTTTTCTGGCTCTGGGGTTCTTGCTCTGATGGCGGGCCATGGCCTTGGGGGAGGCAGGGCTGTGCACACACCCACATGTTGGGACGCTGGACGCTGGAGGAAGCCCTCGGGCTGGACACCTGTGTGCCACCGTCCATCACAGTGCCCAGCGGGAGAGGAGGCGGCCTGGGTTCCAGTCTCGGCGCTGACTGCCACTTTCATGGGGGCTCCCAGGGCAAGTCATTCCTCCTCCTGTGCCTCCACTTTCCTGCCTGTAAACTGGGGGTAATAAGCGCCCCCTCAGAGGGCTGCTGCGGTGATTACATGGCTGACTCAGGCCGGTGCCAGGTGCAGAGGAGTTGCTCACCAAGCTCACCACCACAGTCCATGCTTTCTTTTCATGTCACCCCAGATTGTGACCCTCACAGCCGTGCTCCCAAATGGGCTGTTATCCTTTTACAAACGGGGAAACTGAGGCACGGGTGGGTCACCCATCCCAAGCCTCAGCTGGGAGCAAAGAGCTGGGACTCTCATCCTTTGACCTGCCCAGTGAACCCGGCAGATTCCTCTCCAGTGTGCCCATTTCACAGCCGAGCAGACTGAGGCCTGTGTTGGGCAGGTCTGTGCCTATTGCCCCCCTCCCCGACCTGGTACCTCTGACGGCAGGGGTTCCCCAGACAGCTTCTACACCAGGGGGACTGGAGAGGCGCCCGAGGGGCACTGGCAGGGTTTGGGTGTCAGGGGAGAGGAAAGGCAGTCCAAACGTGTGTGTGTGTGTGTGTGTGTGTCAGCGGGGGATTCAGGTACTGGCCTGGCTGGTGGGAGAGAGAAGGAAGGCATCTTTTATTCTGTATTATTTTTAAACCAAGAGAGGCAGGTGGGCCCCAGTGGGGACCCTGGATCCTGGCTGCCTGCGTGCTTATCTCCCTCTGCCACGTACTGTCTGTGTGACCTTGGGCAAGGTTCCTAGCCACCTGGTGCCTCAGTTTCCCCATCTATAAAATGGGGATGGAACCCCCCCCAATAGAGTTGACGATGAGTAGATGGTTGCTAAGATGGCAGCATTTCCATAATTTTGTTGAAGCTGCTGGGAGACCTCGCAGAGGAGGGGGCTGAATCTGCGGCCCCTCTCCCTGTGTCTTGTCCTCCGCCCCCCGGACAGGGGGCTGCCGGCTGACCGAGGCCTGGGAAAGGCGATCACGTCCCCAGAGACCCCTGTGGGTGTGATGAGGAAAGCTCACTTCTCTCCCCTCAAGGCCTCCCATGCTCCCGAAGAGTCAGGCGATTTGGGGAAGCAGTAGAGACTCCTCCTGGAGGACGCGTGGTGGGGGTCACATGGGGCGAGCGCCCAGCCCCTGTCCGTGCCAGCGAGGAAGGGGTGGTCATTGGGCATGGGGGTGAGGCTGCTGGGGCACAGGCGCTGTCCCCTGCGAAGGGCAGCTTGGCCCCTTCCCCGCTGTGCCACTGGGCATCCTTCCACTGAGGCTCGGGACCCAGTGCTTAGCAGGTAGTAAGCGCTCGCTCAGCACTGCCAGCATCTTTCTTTCCATCTTATCGACTCAGCTGTTCTTCCGCGGCTGGGAGGGGTTGTCAGCTGGGTTTGGCCCCAAAGAGTGTTGAGGCAGGGTCTGAGGAGCCCCAGCCTGGCTTCCACGGTGGGATTGAGATCTGGTGCTTTTTGCTCCTGTGGTCTGCTGAGCACTTCTCACTGCTGTTTCCCCATCCGGGCCACACTCGGTGCAGCTGGGACTCGGGTGGTGTCCTGGGAAGGACAGCAGAGGTGGGAGCGGTGTCACTGGGGCAGCCCCATTGTCCAGAGGGGCACACTGAGGCCAGGGGATGGGGAAGAGCCTCCCTGAGGCTGCAGTGTTGAGACGCAGGTGATGGGTGGGTTTTCGTCCTTGGTCGTGACACCCAGCCCTGGACTGGCGTCATGAGTCCCTGGGGCGGTTCTGCAGTGGACGGGTCTCCTGCAGAGCTGGTGCAAACTCCAGGGAGCTGAGACACTTCTGGGCCTCGGTTTCCTCGTTTGTCAAGTGGGCGTCCTCCAAGGGTTGCTGAGGGCACTGCTGGGCACGTTCTGGCTGCTATTGGGAGATTTTACTTTTTCCGAATACATTCATTCATTGAATGATTGTTTCTAAAGAACCTACTGTGTGCCAGCCCCCATTCTGGGTGCTGGAGATGGAGCTGTGAATAGGCCGGATAGGCACCCTGTCCTCCCTGGGCCAGACGAGAGTTGGATACATAGTGTGTCCTTGGTGGAGAGCGCTAGGGTGAAGAACCAGCAGAGAAGGAGTTTGGGGAGCCTGTGGGTGGTCTGGTCTGGGGGGGATGCAGTTTCAAATGGGGGGTCAGAGTGGGCCACCCTGAGAAGGTGGCATTTGAGCAAACACCTGCAGGAGGAGGGAAGGGAGTGTGCGGGTGTCTGGAGGAAGGGTGTCCCAGGCAGTGGGAACAGCTGGTGCAAAGGCCCTGAGGCTGTTTGCAATGGGCCTCTTGATTTGCGGGGCGTGTGCATGAGTCACGTGGGTGGGGTTTTCTTGAGGCCAGCCTCATTCCTGTGTTCCTGAGCCTTTAGGGCATCCCCAAACTGTAGGCAGGAGGGAAGGCCAGCCTTGGAGGTTACCTGCTTCCTGAGCGACCTTGGGCCCCACAGTAGTGGGTTACATCTTGAGGGTGGGGAGCAGGGGTGATGCTGGTGGTAGCCCCCTCAAGGTGATCAGCCCAGCCAGGCTTTCTCCCTGGTGTCTTGGTGCCTTTGAAGTTGGAAAGAAGGCGGCCTTGCCTGGGGTGTTTTTCCCTCCTTCTCCTCCTCCGCCTCTCGGTCCTCCATCAATCTGCATCGCAGGCCTAATGGTGCGCCTTCCTCCTGTGGCTGAGTTATCTGCTTGTCATGCCAGTGGCCCACCCGAGGACGATAAAAGGGCTTTTTGTCTGCAGGCACTTAGCTTCCTCCTCTGGGGCGATCCATCACGCCTGAGGGAGGAGGGAGGCAGACAGACGGGGGAGGGCGAGGAGGGGTCCCTCCCCTGCCGAGGGAGGCGAATGCTTCCAGGAGCACCCCCTGGCAGGACTCAAGTGGCTCCTCAGCTCAGAGACAAGGCCTATCTGGGGACAGGACGGGATGGATGGTGGGGGCTGCCTGGGGCGTGGCGGCTGGGTGGGTACTCTGGGCTCCCCTCCCAGAAGACAGAGGCGCCATGGACCCTGTGCCCGGTAGCTCCCAGTTGGCAGCTTGGGGAGCCTCTCTGTGACCCTCCTCACCTGGTGGGTGTGGTGGGGCCAGAGACAGGGGACGCGGGAACAGGAATTTCTAGAAAGAACCATGATGAGAGGCAGAAGGGGAGACGTGTGTGGATCGAGGGGACGAGTGTCCTGAACGATCATGTAGCAGCAGCACCAAACACTTCAGCCGCCACAGAGGCGCCCCACTGTCCTCACCCCATCCTCCAGGTGAGGAAACCGAGATGCGGGGAGGTGATGTGACGTCCCTAGTGTGTGAGAGGCAGGGGTAGTCCAGCTCCAGAATCTTTTGTGTCGGTGTCAGTCCTTGGAGAAGGTGGCATTTGGGTCGGGCCCCTAAGCCAGGTGCGGGTTTTGACCCTGTGGTGGGGGAGGGGAGCTCCAGGCATCCTGGGTCGGGGAGCTGGGTGAGTGCGGGGCACAGGTGGGAGAGTGGGGTTTCCTGAGCCTTGAACCTCTCCCAGCGTGGTGCCCGGTGGCATGTAGATGAGGGATGAGGGGTCACGTGTGGGTGGAGGCTGAGAGCCGATGCAGGACTGGAGGGGGGCCAGGCTTTCTGGATCCCCTGGCGTGGAGATCAAGACCAACCACCCTGCAGGCAGACTGGTGGTCAGGCGTGTGTGTGTGCGGGTGGGGGAGGTTCATGGGGCTGGGACAGGCAGAATCACACCTCTTGGGACTCCATTTGTCCTACCTCAACGGGTCGACTGGCTCTGTCCCTAGTTGGGGGGCCCCAGACCCTCTTTTGGGTGGAGGTGGTTCTCTCTCCCTCCAGCTCAGGGTGCTCAGCCCTGGGCGAGCTGTCCCTCCCCCTTCTGGCCTCGCCTTCCCCTCCTTCCTCCATCCCCTCCCCTCCTCACAGCCTGCCTCCTTCTCCCCACAGGCCACCCTCAAATGACAGCAATTAATGGTGCCTCTGATGGCGGGCTGGGAGGACGAGGCTGACAGTTGAGCGTGTCTGCCTGCGGCTGGCCCTCTAATCGGGCCCGGGGGACGCCCCTCCCGCCGTGGCTCCCGGGCGCTGCCTGCTGTCCCCATCACTCACAGGGCGGCAGGAGTCCCCTCAGACAGGCACATGTGACTTGACACAGAAGCCGCAGTTGCCGTAGCCCCCTCCCTGTTTTCCTCTCACTATTATCTTTTCTCTTACGTAAGTGGGTGGGCTGCGGGTTGACCCTGTCCCTCTCTAGTTAGGGCATCTGTGATGGCCAGACCGCCAAGACGCCCCTCTCCATCAGGATGTGCTCTCTGCTGGCCAGTTTCTGTCTCCAAATGACCACAGAGTGTCCTGTGCTGCCTTCAGGGCCAGCCCCTCCCCACGGGGTCCCCATCCTTTTTGGTCTGCCTTCCTGGAAGGAGTGAGTCGGGGGGAGGCGAGGAGACTTGTCCTGCCCTAAACAGCAGGCGTCAGTTAACTGTGGGTGGTGTGGTCTGGGGGTTGTAGTTTCAAATGGGGGCAGCCTGGAACTGGCAGTGATGGGGGCAGCTACCCAGGCCTGGAGTCTTGTCTGGCGGGGGGTGCTTGTGTGTGTCGAGGGGATGGGAATCCTGGCCAGCCCTGGCCACGCTGGGCCTGGTGCTTCCCATTCATCATTCTGCAGCAGCAGTAATGAGGCCCCTGCTGTATGCCGGGGCCAGCAGCAGGTACTTTCACTGTGGTTCATTTTACTCTACAGTAAGTCTCCAAGGATCATGCTATTTATAACCCTGCTTTTGTAGATGGGGAACTAGACAGGCAGAGAGGCAAAGTGATTTGCCCTAAATGACCCAGGAAGGAAGGGATAAATCTGGGATTCAATCCAGACTTGCCTTGTCCAGGGCTCATAAATCAGGGGCTTTGGGGGAACTTAGGGGGTCATCAAAGAACCAGCAGACCTGATCTGGAAGTGGGGAAATTGTCAGGGACAGGAGTTAGTGGTGCTAGTGTATGTATATATGTTTGTTACAGTTAAAAAAAAGCACAAAACCCCAGCCTTATTGAGATGTAACTAATCTGTAATAAAATGCACTCATTTTGGGGGTTCTATTTCATGAGTTTCGACAAATGTAAACATTCATATAACTCCCACCACAGTTAAGATGGAGCATGTTTCCATCACGCCCCCTAAAGGACCTGCTACCATAGAAGTTACAGAATCCTCTAGGTTTTTGTAATAAAATTATCATGAAGTGTGTGCTTTTTTTGTGTTTGGCTTCTTTCGCTCTTCGTGGTGTTTCTGAGATTCATTTGTAATTGCATGCTTATAATCCATTATAGGAATGTATCGCAGTTTGTTTATCCATTTTTGAGTTAATGAATGTTTTAAGTTGTTTCCGGTTCTTGGCTATTATGAATAAAGCTAGAAAGTCTTTTTGAAAAGCCGTTTTGCTTTTTCTTGCCTTATTGCATTGGCAGAGACCTTGGGGAAGCACCGGGGAGCAGCCGTTGAGGGTTTCAGGGTTAGCGAGCTGTGGCTGTTGTTCTTAACGCTCCCACTTGACAGATGAGGAAACTGAAGCTCTGAGACATCAGATGACTTACAGAAATTTATTTGGCAAGAGTTAAGTGCTCGTTCTCCTCCTCCAAGCTGGGAAGCAGCAGCCTCATTGGTTGCACCAAGTGTGCCTTTTGTTCCAGTGGGTCACGTCAGGAATTGGTGGCCAGGCAGGCGTGGCTCAAATGACCCTTCTTCCCTCTGGGTTTCCTCTGCTGGAAGGTGAGAGTGTAAAGGAGGCTCTGCACCTCGTGCCTTCTGGGTCAAGTGCTGTCCGTTGGCACCAAGTGCCGTTGAGTGAGTGTCGGGCCTTGTGTGATCCTGCTGTCTTGGCCAGAGTCACGGAGGCCTTCTGGGGAGCTATTTTGGGGCGAGGCCGGAGCTTGACATATGGAAGCCCAGGAGTGGGGGTGGGGACAGGGCAGGGGGTCCCCTCCTCCCCTGCCCGAGGGGTGTCAGCTAAGATGGCTTTTCAGGGAAGGAGGCCCATAAATTAAATAAGCAATCCCGTAAATAAATAAGTAATGAAGTTAGTGGGGTGCCTAATTACATCAAATTCGTAATTATGGATGGATGCCTGCCCGATAATTGTACTTGTTTTTAATCTTCAGCTCTGACATGTGTCTTCTTTCATCTGATGGTAATCCCTGCCCCCAGCTGGAGGGAGGAGGGAGGCCCTGCCTCTCAGGGCTCCCAGGGGGCCTGGGCGGCGCCGGGGTCCCCAGACCCCAGGGATCCAGGTGGGTCTGTCTGTGTCCTGCAGTCGGCAGTTTCTAACCCATTTGGAATGACAGCACAGGACAGCCGTAACGGTAACAGTGTTCATAGTAGTAATCACGTTGCACTTTGCCTGCTGGAATTGACTGAATCTTCCAAAACCCACTGTGAAGTAGGGATTGTTGTCATCCCTCACTTCACAGATGAGGAAACTGAAGAACAGAGAGGTTAAGTGACTTGCCTGAGGCCACACCGCCAGTGATATTAGAACCCAGGCTGTTTGCCCCAGAGCCCACATCCTTCCGGTTCTCCCACCTCGGCCTCCAGGTCATCCTGGGTGGGTCACCCGGAGTGCTGTCTCTGCTGGAATGTGCCCTTTGAGGAAGATGCTAATTTAGAGTGATTCGAGACCTCAAGAGGCTGAAACGCTGAAGAGATCACGTCATCTCTTCCAAGATTGCCGTAAATCCAAACAGAAACCATTGTGATCCGGAAAATAAAATTGTGTTTCATTTAACGACAAAGCAAGCAGCCCATTTGTGGGAATTAAAACAGCTTCTTTCTTTTTCTAATCTTTCTCTGTTTGTGGCTTTGATTTGCTGGCTCTTGGACACTGCTAGTCCTGCCTGTGGTACTGTGATAATGATCCTTAGACCCACTTTCCAGGTGAGGAAACTGAAGGACTGAGTGAGGGCACAGCTGGCGGGTGGTGGAGCCGGCATTCTCGCCAGCTCTTACCACCTGGTTTGGGGCCACCTCACCTCACCCCAGCTTCACCAGGGTCCTTGCTGTGCTGGGTGACCCGGAGACCAGCTGCACCCACTTCATTTGGGGGACAGAAAGGATGGAAGTGGCTGGGGGCAGCGTTGTTCTCACATGCCATCCATACAGACCCCAGACCCCCAGTTGCAACTGACCCCTGTTTTTCCATGATGTGCCCTGTGTCTCGGACATCAGACCCTGGTTAGGGGCAGTGGGGCCTGAGCCCTTGGGATGCCCTGGCCTCTGTCAGGAATTGCCCCTCCGCACACTGCAGTGAGGGGAACACCCTCACCTTCTGGGGTGCCCCACGGGACCTGCATTTCTGGAAGTCTAGCAGGGGCTGTGACTTGGGCTGGCATGGGGTGTGGCTGCCTGTGTGCCAACTTGTATATCCCTGTCTCCTGGGATTTGGGGACTCTCCTGCCCCGCACTGTGAGGACACACTCACATGAAGAACTGTGTGTGTCCATGTGGCTCCTGAGGGTTGCAGCAATCCAGGGAGGCTGCCTGGAAAAGCTAGAACAAGCACGTTAAATAAAAATAAACCTACTTGTAAAAATTCAAGTAAGTACTTCCAACAGGACCTGGCACGGAGCAAATACTGTATTTATTATCCAAGCTAAACTTCCTGACCCTTTGCTTTCCTTGGTGCTATGTGGGAGTTGGCCACTATCATTAATACTAACTATAATTTCTAATGGTTCCTGAACATTTACTTGATGCTGGCCTGTGTTCCACATATATCATATACGTCCACACCCATACTCCCCGGAGTAGCAGTACGAGGTAGGTGTTACTATTATCGGCCCCATTTTATACGTAAGGAAGCTGCAGGCACAGAGAGGTTAAGAGACTTGCCCAAGGTCACACAGCTGGCAGCTGGCAGCACTGGGATTTGAACCCAGGAAGCTGACTCTGCAGCACCTGCTGTTAATTGTGGGGACTGTGCCGGCACCACCTGCAGCCCTCCCTGAGCCTGGAGCCAGACTGAATCTCTTGGCAGGGCTGCACCGGTGGTGGGCCAGCCTCCATGTGTAACGTAGGGCCCTCAGGCATGCTGCAGCTGCTCTGGGCTGGGCAGGACTGGTCAGGACATGAGGGGTCTGCTTCCTGCTTCCCTGCAGCCTGCCTGGTATCCCCATAGCCTCCTGAGGGTGGCGGTGGGGTGTGATACACAGCAGACAAGACACCAAGCCCTTGCCTTGTGGATCCCATGGACTGCTGGGGAGATGGGCAGTGCAGAAGCAAACATGGTATTGCAAGGCAGGGAAATACTGGCTGAGGAATAACGCAGGTGGGGCAAGTCTAATTTCAGGGGAGCTCCTCTTAAGTAGAGGAATCAAGGGTGGTTTCTGAGGAGGTGGCGTTTGAACTGGGACCTGGGACTATGGAAAGGAACCAGACATATGCAAGGAGGAGGGATGAGCTGTCTAGGTGGGGGAAACAGCATGTGCAAAGGCCCTGGGGCCAGGATGTTTCAGGAGCTCTGAGGAGGCTGGCCTGGCTGGAACAGAGCCAGGGGCACCAGGAGTAAGTCTCTGGACCTGGGGCTGTTCTGTAGACCTCAGTGGTTGGACTCTTTACCACATTTAAGGCAGAAAGAAAATTTAATGAATTTTCTTTTCCCTTTTGTTCTTTTGCTAGTTGATTAATTTACATTTGTTGGGCACATGGAATATTCTGGACATTTGTAGGCCACTGGGATCAGAATGATGGAAAAGTCCGGCATCGTTTGTGCCTTTGAGGAGTTTAGTACCCAGAGGGAGAGGGTCAGTTAAACAAGTGACATTGAGAGTGGGGAGGGTCACACGGACAGAGTTCAGGCCATCACTGAAGTGTAACAAAGTTCGAATTTGCCTGTGGTCAGGACAGACTTCTTTGGACAAGTGTCAGTTGAAGCGAGACCTGAGGGTGATTATTAATTAGGACTCCTGAGTCATGGTAGAGACACGCTCAGGCTGGTTTAGGCCACAAGGAGGAACTGATGGGCACTCATAATGGCAAAGCCAAGAGTAGGACACGTTCAGGCATGGCTGGATCCAGGGGCTCAAACCATGCCTTGGAGAGCTGGCTCTGTCTTACCTATTCTTCCTTCTGTGTGGGCCTTGTTCTAGGCAAGTTCATGCCACCAGCATGGCAGGCCAAGAGGAGGGAGAGGCAGTTGAAGCCCCAAGAATGGAGCTCCTTTCTCTTTGTCATTTCCTTGCTGAGTGAGGCTTTCAGCATTTATTCAGCTGTTTTCAACATTGGGGGGAGGTGGCCAAGGTGAGGGAATGGAGTGGTTCAAACTCAGATGCAGTCAAGGAAAGGAATGAGGTGAAAGGGAGGGGTGGGGATTGTGGCTAAGTGTCATGCTGGATATTCTGATTTTTTTCCAAGAAAGCTGGAAATCTGGATTTTATAAGCAATGTCCTAATTGAACAAAACAAAACAAAACAAAACAAAACAGTATGTGTGCTAGAAAGAGCTTCCCTGTTGACCACAGCTGGCTGTCATCATTTTGTGGCCTCTATTCTTAGCTGTGACTTTCATCTCAGAAGTTTTTGGCCCTCCGTGATCTGGGCAGACCGTTCCATGGAATGTCACAGAAGGTCCCGAGGCTTGGGAAGTCACGTTTAATGCCTCTGGAGACGCCATTTCCAAAAGTGTGGGCCTGAGGCCACAGTTTTGCCCAGAGCCCTCCACAGGAGCTCAACATGTTCTGAGAGACAGTAAAGCTGAATGGTTAGTGTCATAGACTTAGGCGCCACACTCCCTGAGTTCAGATCCTGGCTTTGCTGTTTCTAGCTGTGTACCCTTAGGCAAGTCACTTCACCTCTCTGTTCCTTGGTTTCTCTGTCTGTAAAATGGGGATGGCAGTATCCCATGGGATTGTGAGGCATCAAGAAACACATGTGAAGCCTGCTTCCCCCAGGGCCTGGCATGATGGGAGCATGTGTGTCCCTAGGCTGGTATAATTTGTCCTTCCTGGGTTGGGTCCCGAGATCTGGCTGGTGGTGGTCAGGAGCTTTCCTGGACACCTCCTCCTTCCTCCGCTGCCCCGGCGTGGGCCCGCCTGTCCCCAGCCATCCCTGCCAGTTGCTCTGTGCCCTTGGCCGCAGGGTGGCGCTGCAGTTTGACGTGAGCAGTTCGCCCTGCCCACGGCCAGCTCACAGCTGCCGAGGGGAGGTGGTGGTGAAGGGGGGAGTCCCCTTTTAAAATACAGCAGCACACAGGAAACCAGCCTAGGGGACAACTTGCTGCCTTCAACCAGCATGACCAAAGGTTTACCTGTGATGCTTTTGTGCCTGGAAGGAGTGATGAAGTGGACGGAGGACACTGGTCTGGGGAAGTCCCTGTTCCGGGGCAGAGTCTCCTCATCAAGGAGGCCCCTTTCCAGCCAGCCCCCTGCGGGTAGATCACAGATCCCTGTCTCAGGGAGACGGGTCTGGGTCCCTTGGGGTCTGTCCTTGGCTGGTTCAGGGCAGGAGAGGACTGGCTGTGGGGCGAGGGGAGGGGGTGATTTCCTCAGGATGCTCAAGCGTCTGCCCCTGCAGCTTCCAGCCTGGCTCCCTGGAATCAGGGCAGGAAGGAGAGGGAGGAGGAGATGAGGGATGATGTTTCTGGGCGTTCGATGCTGCTGAGTGGCAAGTCTTGATTGTGGGCGTGGGTGGCGTCGTGGTCCTCAAAGGAGATGTCCACGTGGAACCTCCGAATGTGACCTTGACTGGACAAAGGGTCTTTGCAGAGGGGATTGAGTGATCGAGTGAAGGGTCTGGAGATGAGCTCATTCTAGACTTAGATGGATTCGCTCCCAATCCGATGACGGAAGTTCTGATAAGAGAAGACACACGGGGGAGCAGCCAAGTGAAGGCGGAGGTGGAGGCAGTAGGGATGCAGCCACAAGCCAAGGAGACCTGGTCCACCAGGAGCTGGAAGACACAGGGAGGGCTCCTCCCTTGGTGCCTTCGGAGGGAACGCAGCCCTGCTGACCCCTTGACCTCCACACTGTGAAGGAACACACTGTTCTTGCTTCAAGCTGCCCAGTGTGTAGCCCTAGGAAACCAATGCAGCTGTGTGAATTTTATTTTATTTTTATTTTATTTTATTTTATTTTATTTTAATTTATTTTTATTTTATCTCATTTTATTTCTTAACGGAGGTGCCGGGGATTTCAGCACATCGTTACCTGCTGTTGACTTTCTCACCTCCCGGGTCACCTCCACGAGCGCAGGGATCTCGGTCTCGTCCCTGCTCTGTTCTCCATGCCAGTGTGTGGACTTGTCTGACGGCTCCAGGCCTGGGGTAGAAACTCTTAGCAGCTGAGAGGTGGACACGGCTTTCAGAGGGTCAGGACCAGAACGGTGTCCATTCAACCAAAGCACCTTCTTATTCTGAATTGAGCTGAAATTCACATCATGTAAAATTAGCCGTTTGAAAGGGTCGTTGGTTTTTGGTACGTGAACATTGTTGTACAACCAGCACCTCTGTCTAGTTCTCAAATATCTTAAGAGGTTTCTAGATATCCAAAATGTCTCAGAACATATCTTCTATAATATCTTCATCACCCCACAAGGAGACTCCGAATCCATTAGCCCTCACTACCCGTCCCGTCTCTCCGCAGCCCCTGGCCAACACCAGTCACATAAATGGGATCATACAAATTGTGTGTGACCTTCTGTGTCTGACCTCTTGCACTTGGCGTGGTGTTTTCAAGCTTTGTCCACGTGGTAGCAGGAATCAGTTCTTCATCCCTTTTTATGGCTGAAGAATATCTCCTCGTATGGAGGTACAAAATTATCGTGTAAGCAGCTTTTCAGATGAGGAAACC